TTTGCTTTCGTTGGAAACAATTGTTCATCTATAGATAGATACAGTCCTGGTTTATAACAGGTTTATAACAGTTTTGACAGTTATAAACCTTGGTTCGTAACAGCTTGAAACTCGTTCTCAATGAATTTGCGCCAAACTTTGAAAATCAAGACGAATTTATCGGTTTATCCGAGGGTTGGCTTTGTTGATTTCTGTTATCAAACCGAACGAACCTTGTAACTTCTTTAGCATCGGAGAATAATACTGAACCTCATTTTTTTTTTTATAATGTAGCGAGAAGATTGCTAGGCATACTTTCGAATAAACAATTTTCTTTAAAAGACAAAGACCGACTCGTGCAAAGAATACAAATAGGATCGAATGACCCCCTCTTAGGCAAGACAGACTACAAATTTTTTTCAAAAAATAAGCAATAAGAAGGAAAGCGAATATTAAGAAATGCATTGTACGTATGATATGATAAGAAAAGTGGTAAAGTTAAATGGCGACGCAGTGACATATAGTATGCAGGATGTTGTAAACGAAATCTTAAAAAGGGTCATTTGACCTGGCTTGGTGATTTCAGACAGCGACCAGGCGGCTGGGGCTGTGCTGCACGAACTGCGGAACCCGCACCACCACCCTCTGGAGGCGCAACAACGAGGGCGAGCCGGTGTGCAACGCTTGCGGCCTGTACTTCAAGCTGCACGGTGTGAACAGACCGCTCGCGATGCGCAAGGACGGCATTCAGACGCGGAAACGAAAGCCGAAGAAGACGCCGGAGCCGAACGCCAGGTCGTCGTCGAGCGTCGATCACGAGACCACCGCGGTGTCCGCCGCTTCCTCTCCGTCCACCGGTGAGTGGAATCGATCGAATTCTTCCGCCCTCTTTGCCATCTTCTCACCCTCGTTCTACATTCCTCTCACGTTCGTTCGTTCTTTCGAATCGAAATCTTTTTTCCCGACATCGGCGTTTCTCTTTCTCTGGTTTCGCAGAATTAAAAAATAGTCAGCAGCAGCAACAGCAACAGCAGTCTCAACATCAACAGATCGAGGTGTCCAAGTCGTCGGCTAGTTCGTCGGACAGGCCGGTCTACCTCGGGCACACGTCCCTGTTGGCGACCGGGAGCGTCGCCACGGTGAAGACCGAGCCGCGAAGTTGCGACGGCATCGTCGGTCAACCCTACTCCTCGTACTATCAGCATCCCCATCAGCTTGGGGTACCAGCGACCAGCGAGCATCAACAGCAGACTTACTACGGAAGCCAAGAGGCGCCGTATCATCATCAGCATCACGTTACCGCGGCCGCCAAGTTACTCGCCTCTACGTAATCCTCGTAATTTCCTCGTCTCGACGCAACGAACGTCGCGCGTTGGTCCCTCTCTCTCTCTCTCTCTCTCTCTCTCTCTCTCTCT